TTTATTTTTAAATTTATATTTTTAACAGGCTGGGACAAGAAAAGTCTGTTAAAAATTCATAACTTCTTCATCCGACGTCCGTTTTCGTCTGTCTTTTTACCGTTGCACTAATATCGATGAGATATTCGATTCTTGTTTAGATTGTTTCGGCTAAAAATCACTCGATCTAAATTTCGAGTTTTGGGCTGCACACTGCTAAGTCGAAACTTAGAAAAATCATAACTTTCTCATACGAAGTCAGATTTGGGCGTTCTTTTTATGCACGCTCTCGGTTTAATGAATGCTACGACTTTCGTTTAGATAACTAAGGCTAAAAATCGTTCTATCGTAAATTCACTATTTACGTCATACAACGTTGTGTCGGTTCTGTCCTGAAACTTCGACGAGTCATAACTTCTTTGTTATAACTCGGATTTCGGAATTCTTTTTATCTCCGGAATCCTTGTTTCAACCACTACAACTTTATTCTTATATATCAGGTTTATCTAACGTTTATTTTCGACGCTTATTTTTATTCTTAACTTATTAAATTATGATAATTAAGTAATTAAGCACATAAATCACATAATACATCTTTATTATATCAAAACAAGTTACAAAGGTTGACCTAGACTATTACATCATCATTAATGTCTAGCCTAGAAACACGGGCGTTACACTTAACTACAGAGTTCTTGTGGGATCTGCTGCCCTCACGGCTTTAAAACGCGTTGTAACAAGGAAGGTATCCACACCCCTTATAAGGAAATGTTTCGTTCTCCTTCCAAGCTGATGTGGAATCAGGTGCAACCCACCTTCACCCCCCATTATAAGGTTCGACGTCCCCGTCGAACACGTCGACCCGTGTCCCAGCTCTGATACCATTTGTAACATCCTCCTCCGGTACGTATCACAATATTGTCCGCTTTGGGCTCCCGGAATGAAAACTTCCCAGGTGGTCACCCATCCATGAATTGCTCTCGCCCGGGCACGCTTAACTGCAAAGTTCTTATGGGATCTACTGCCCTCACGGCTTTAAAACACGTTGTGACAAGGAAGGTATCCAGACCCTTATAAGGAAATGTTTCGTTCTCCTTCCAAGCCGATGTGGGATCAGGTGCAACCCACCTTTTGTAACATCCTCCTCTGGCACGTATCACAATATTGTCCGCTTTGAGTTCCCGACGTGAAAACTTCCCAGGGGTCACCCATCCCTGGATTGCTCTCGCTCGAGCACGCTTAACTGTAGAGTTCTTATGGGATCTGCTGCAAACATAACCCAAAACTATAAGCCCAAAGATTAGTGAGTTCCCCCAAATACCAATACATAACAAATAACACAAAAACAAAACAACATACTATGGGTTCAATCAACCATCGGGTTGGAATACCCCAGGCCCCTCAACCATCGGGTTGGAATGCCAACATACTTTGGGTCCAATAAACCATCGGGTTGGAATACCCCAGGCCCCTCAACCATCGGGTTGGAATGCCAACATACTATGGGTCCAATCATCCTCGGAACAGAATACCTTAGGCCCTCAATCATCGGGTTGGAATGCCTCGTCCTGTTGGCTTACGCACAGAGCAGTGAAGCCTCAGCCACCAATAAATCATGTGCACATAATACAGATAAACATACTATTAACCAGCCAGCAATAAACAGACAGATCCTACAGATCACTAAGCATAACAACATCCTAAATACCAGGATACCAATCTAACAGATCACCACAACACTATAGCATACATGTCAGGATATCAAATCCAAAGGGTCGGCCTTGGTACCTTAGACCCATTAGTACAACGAGGGAAACTCACCTCACAATGTCAAACCCCACTGAAAACCTCCGACTGCTGGCTCATGAAAATCCCGAACTAACACAACAAAACAAACATCCAATTAACAATTGGATTACCATCCTTGACTAAGGATCCATACTTAGGGTAAATGTCCACTATGCCCTTTCCCCAATTGGGCCAAGGCCCAAGTCCTAATTCTTGATCCAAAAGGCCCAAATTACTTCAAAACCCATGATCGGCCCAATTTTCCAAACTCGATGCGTTCGACAGGGACGTCGAACCCAATAATGGGGGGTGAAGGTGGGTTGCACCTGATCTCACATCGGCTGGGAAGGAGAACTAAGCATTCCTTAAAAAGGGTGTGGAAATGAATTGTTGCGGACGATTAACCGCATCAACCTTAAATCATACATGCAAATAGCACGTCTTACTGGCTCTACCGCCACACTATGTAATATGTTAAAAGTGTATATTATGTTGTGTATCTTGTTGTCATCCTATAGTTGTGCAGCTACATGTCATTTCTTCTTAATTAATGCTCCAAACTTCCTCCGTAAATATGTCATTCATAGTAGATTCTTGCCTTTTTGTGATTTTTTTAATCTCGTAGTAACAAGTACTCATTCACAAAAGTAGTGTAATTAGGGTATATCCTATTACAAAGGTAGTAACCATATTTGTATTTTCTTTCGTTCACTATCACAAACATATTAGGCTTACCTGAACAAAATATCGTTGAAAATGGGGAAATTACTAAGAACGTTTATGTCATTGTTGGACACTACAACCCCAAACAACACATGTCAAATCCACAATCATTAGATGCATCAACTTCTAGTATCAAAAATGGTGCACCTATATTACCTTAGGTAAATTTACTTCGCCATGTATTTGGAAAATTCCCACTCCCAAAGCATACAATCAAGATTACCAATCATTCCCTTCCTGGTAGACCATGCTTTGTTCATGAGCCGCATACAATCTTTCAATATCACGTCTAGTATGTTTATGCAAGTGTTCTTTGCTGAAAACCTCTATAACATATGCACAAAAATATTTCACACACTCTCGTGTGGTTCTCATACATATTTTAAATACTCATTCTTTGTGTCATAGGTAATACCGTAACCTAGATACCTAAGTGCAGCAATACATTTATGTATAAAAGTAAAGCCCATTCTACCTCTAGGTCCGGTTCTGCTAAAAAATCATATCGCACCTTTAAAGTGAGTGTTACTGACGCGTAAAAATACTTCTTTATTCATACGAAAATGATGATCAAATGTTTCCTTCTTATAAATACAATTTTCAACAAAATAATCACGTACCAAATGTTCATATGAAGCTTGACGATATTGGTTGACAATGGCTTTTGTGTGCTTAACATGCATGAATTCTTGATCAACAGTTATGGTAACAATATTAAAGAATGATGAGAAAAACTCCCCGTCATCAGAAAACATATTTTTTCAAAAAACTTCATGTTTATATTTCTAAAAATAGATAAAAGATAATGAATATTTTGAGTGAAATTTTAGTGGTATATATAGATGAGATTATGAGCATGTTTGAGTAAATATGATTTTTTTAGGAAAATGCCACAAGTAGTCGTTTAACCCTTAGCAATCACAAATACTTCCCCATTAGAGCGATGCTCATTGTGTCACTCTCCACAAACCACCACGTTCGTGGCACCAGGGATGGTGTGCACGAACGCGGTGCACCCTCTACCTCGCCACGGGTTAAGTCTTGTGGCTTGTATACTGTTATGCCTTACCAAGTACAAGTTAATGACAACCATTTGAGGTTTTTTAGAAATTAAGTTGTGTGTTATGATCCTCAAATAACTCAATATAAAAGTACAATAATACTTTCCTAACCACCTGTTTCTCTTTCAAAATACTTTAATTAAAAACACTTTGCCCCCTTCCCCTTCCCCTTCCCCTCCCTACCAATCCCCATCACCGGTGATAGACTCCAATCAACACACATTTACTTTGGATCCCTAATCCTATAATATTGAGCATGGTTCAAAACCAAAATTGGATAACTTCAAAGACATACAAACTCTACTTAGTTCACCTCTTTCGAACATTGTCAAAACCAACAAAAAATATAGAAAAATATGTAATCCTTTTAAACAATGTTCAAGTTAGAGCATCTGACAGATAACTGAAAGTCTTGATGATGTGTTGTTGGGATGGCCAACAAATAACATAACAGTGGAGGTCGACGCCTCAAAGAGAAACCACAATCTTGACGTCGTGAAATATAGCTTAAATATTCTTGATAATTTACGTCGTTGAACAAAAGTTGTGTACCTAAATTCGTGAATTTGCAACGATAGGTGTGGACACGGCTGGAATCGGAGATAACAGGGTAGTGGTGCATGGCCAGAATCGACGATGTTAGGATTGGGGGTGACTGGACTTGATGTTAGGGTGGGGGTGTCAAATGAAATTTAAGTTAAGAATATATAGATTTGGGGTGGTGGCGAAAAATAGGAGATAAGTGAAAATCAATTAAAACAATAAAAAAAAATTGATAATTCGCATTTAGCGAGGGATGTTTTTTTGTTTCTGAATCCATCACTAATCCCTCTCCAATCCATTTATAAATGGCTAGAATTTACGGAATAGAAATCCTGGTTTGGAAGCTCATCGTTGATTAGCTTGGGATAACTTACATTGCTAATTTTGTCATTGACACCTCTGTTTCTAGTAGTGGGGAAAGGTGTGAGCATCAATGGGAGGGAGGCCAATAATTCGTAAAGAGATGGGTGCGGCGTATTCACAAAAGAGAAGAACGACGAGACCGTGTGATTTGCAATATTTTTCACAAAATGACCGGATCAAATGGTGTTTTCTTTTTTCTTTGGAATTGTCTTGGCAAGAGAATATAACCACGAAATTGATGTTTGTCTAAGTTGACTATTAGGGCAGTTTCTTGAACAACATATGTTAGTTTAACCGTGTTTTTTAAACAACAAAAATGAATGTAATGATGTTTTTTGAACTTGTAAACCGCTGGGTGGCTACCTGATCAAAATGTTTCTTGAACAACAACTCAGTTTCATTGTAAGTCATCTTAAAAAAAAAAAATAGAAACAAAAAACTAAATACGTAAACGGGCATAGTAGTCCTTATCCATACAATAATCTATCTATTGTAGTATAATACATACCACAGAAACGAACCGCTTAACTCCAAGAAATAATAATGATAGAATTGTTGTGTGCTGAGATTTCAGCTTTTTATATAAACCATTCCATATTATTGGGCATCAAAATCTCTTGGTAAGGGAAATGTTTTCTTTCTTACAGAATTCCCCCTTTTTCTACTATTCATGCATCGTTTTAATAATTCTCATCAGTTTCAAATGGATTTCAACTCTTTCCAGGACCAATAAAAATTTACCACCATCTCCACCAAGGCTTCCGATCATCGGAAACCTCCACCAACTAGGGTTGAACCCCCACCGCTCACTTGAGGCCCTGTCCAAAAAACATGGTCCACTCATGTTGATACACCTTGGCAACGTGCCCATGCTTGTTGCCTCCTCACCTGAAGCAGCCAAAGAGATCTTGAAAACCCATGATTTGAAATTTGCAAGCCGACCCAAGTTAAGAATTCCCGACATACTTTTGTATGGCTCCAACGACATAACGTTTTCTCCTTATGGAGAGTATTGGAGGCAACTGAAGAGCATCGCTGTAGTTCATCTTCTAAATAATACACGAGTCCAGTCATTTGAACAAGTGAGGGAAAAAGAGGTGGCTCTTATGATTGACAAGATAAAAAACAGTTGTGGTTCTTTAGTTGATCTTAATGAGCTGTTTTTTTGGCTTACGAATAACATTGTCTGTATGGCGAGTCTAGGGAGGAAATATGGTGGGTCAACGTTTGCAGACATAATGGACAGGTTTATGCATCTGCTCAGTGGTTTCAATGTTGGTGATTATATTCCATGGTTGGCTTGGATAGACCGATTGAGTGGTTTAGAGGAGAAAGCACATAAAGTTGCTAAAGAATTTGATGACTTTCTTGAATGTGTTGTTGAAGAACATGTACACAAGAGAACAGAAATGGATGCTCAATGTCGTGAAGATCAAGATCTAGTTGACACCTTATTGGATGTACAAAGAGATAACGCAACCGGCTTTACCTTTCATAGAGATGTCATCAAAGCCCTCATTTTGGTAAGAGTTTTATTTTCATCTTTTAATTTTGAAATAAAGAATTGTGATCGTTATTTTATAGTGAGATATTCTGTATCCCAAAAAAATAATTAAGGATGGTAAATCTTATTTACATGACCAATATTAATGAAAAAATTTTACTCACAAAGTAAATTTTGTCGAATTTTTGCAGCAAACTAGTGAGGCTCACACGCTATATTTGAAACTATTGTTTTTGTTAAAAAATTAAAATTAAAAGACAAAGGAATGTAAGATTTAAATTAGAACAACTATATAGTGAACTACCAAACCACTCATGTGGTGAAAATTTAGAACTACGACTAAACTAAATTAAAAAATTCATAGATACTACCATGTACTAAACACAAGTTATATTTGAAACTAGAGTAAATTTCAAAGTCGCTAGTGTGGTTTAATTAGTATAATTTGTAGATTTTATTTCTATTTGGATTTTTCATTGGGATAGTCTCACTCAAAGGTTCTTAAAAGCTCGTCATGATACACCTTGGCTTTATATTGTACTTGTCACCACGCTTTAACAAAATGTCATCTTAAGTATATATGTATATCAAAAATGAATAATAATAGAAAATATATAAAATATTATTACTTATTTTGTTGTGGTTCGTCGCCGCAAGACAACTAGATCTAAGAACAATTATGAGAAATGTCTAACTGATTCAAATGAGGTGGCACGCCTTATATTAGACATCATGATTTTTTTTTTTCTTTTACTATTTTATGATTAGTTTATTATAATAAACGTTATTAAAATATTTGGGTCATCGCCCCACTTCGACGATTTCAATAGAGGGAAGGGATTGTTAGGATCAATGACTTTAATAAACAAGCACACGACAATGAAGATGCTAAAGGAACAATAACAACTAATAAGACACCCAAGGGTAATGGAAAAAGTACAACAAGAAGTAACAGAAACAGCACAAGGAAGATCCATGATTTTGGAAAGAGATTTAGAGAAAATGCATTATCTTAAAGCTATCATCAAGGAGACCTTACGTTTGCATACTCCAGTTCCACTACTTGTTCCTCGAGAATCAACACAAGATGTGGAACTAATGGGGTACGACATTCCAGCTGGCACACAAGCGATTGTGAATGCTTGGGCGATAGGAAGAGATCCTACCTTATGGGAAGAACCACAGGAATTTAGGCCTGAAAGGTTCTTGAACACTTCCACAGATTACAAAGGGCTTCACTTTGAGCTGCTTCCATTTGGTGGTGGACGAAGAGGGTGCCCTGGAATTCAATTCGCCATAGTCATCATTGAATTAGCATTAGCAAATGTGATATACAAGTTCGATTTGGCATTACCAGATGGAGTAAAAGGAAAGGATTTGGACATGAGTGAGAAGTATGGCCTTGTTGTCCATAAGAAATCTCCTTTAATTGTTGTGGCAACTTCTCGTTTCTAGTAGTTGCCCGTAGTATGTAACTTTCAATGATGATAATACTGAATATATGTTTTATAATTGATGTAATAACCGAAGAGGTGTCTAGCTTTAAACACAAATCCTTTTAAATTTAAGATATGATTGATTTTCCATAATCATACATTATTTTTTTTGGAACATCCTAACATGTTATGATTTAGATGTTAATTTAGTTTTACGATTAAATTGATCAAACACATACTATGAGAGGAGATTATTTGTTGTTCTTAATTTCTTTCTTGGACAATCATTATTATATGCATGAGGAACACAAATCACAGTTTATTGATCCAAAGAACATGACTATAACTTAAACACTAACAACTTCCATGACCTTTATAGCAAATTGGTCATAATTGGTTGCCTAAATATGTCATTATACGATTTAGAAAGGCACAAGAACATTAATATAGTACGTATAAATACATTTTTGAAATCCGATAAGTTTCAACATTACACTTCCCAACCGGTCTCTGTACACAACTCTCTAACAAACATGAGAACTTATTGTTCCTCATCCTCACCATGGGCTCGTAGCTCTACGAGCCCATGGTGACGAATCCGAACTCGATGCAGATGGCATCGAGCCGGGTTGGGGCACATTTGTTGGCCGGAATAAGGTACTAAAAGGACAAGGAAGAGACAAACGCCTCAGATTTCTCTCATCCCTATCTTCACTATCACCTGACCTGTTTGCCTCTTGGTCGGGTCTTGTTTCATCAGAAGGTAACTAAAACCTGCAAACGGGACATGGGCTATGAGGCTCTAACCATGGCAGAATACATTTGCTATGAGACTTATGTTTACATGGCATTTCTTTGGCTTCATTTCCATCTTCAAAATCATCCAAACAAACCGAACATTGAACCGAATTTTCATCGATTTTTTCAGTTGGCATTACTTCCACCGCCTGTTTTTCGTGCGGGTCAAGTTTCGTGTCTATTCGGGTCAATTTCAGACAAATGTTGTAGTAATTCGTCTAATCCGGGACCCGAAAAATAGTCACCTAAAGAACCAATTGGATGGGTCCCACCACCGCTGCCTTGAAATTAAAAGGATTAATCAGAATAACATGTTCCCGATCATGATCACGATCACGTTCTTGTGATGTATTGTTTTCATATCCGGATCGAACACCTTGGAGGAGGTGGAGGATGGTGGCAGAGCTCCGGCCCCGCCTCCTCATGATAGACTCAAACTCACGGTCCAAATCAGAGTCTCCACCCTCCTGGAAGTTGTAGCTCCGGTGGCGGTCTTCTTCCTCGTTATCATCATCAAAGTCGATGTGGGAAAATATCCGGCGACGGTGAGGGTTTTTCACTATGCCGAGAAAGACCGGAGGCCATAACGACTGACCACGGTCAGGAACATCTTCACGGTGGTGGTGGTTGTTGCTTGTGACACTATCCATTTCCTCCATGAATTCACCATGACAACTCGAACACTTGATTGTTACCACTTCTATGATCGGGACTACGGGCCTATTACATTGATGACACCAGTATCTTGTTGACTCTCTATCTTCATCCATATCTCACTTTCAGAAATCAGAATCAAGCTCTGTTATCAATCGCAATCAAGATCAGCAATCACGAAGTAGAAAAAATTTAGGTTTGTTAATTCAAACATATTATTACAGATCAAAGTATATAAAACCCTAGAACCCTTGATATGAGATTTACAAAGATAGAATTCTACTGGTAATTAACAAGAAATATAGATCTTCAAAACGTAATATAACCAGATCCAGAAAGTAAAATTTCTTGGTAAAGATTTGTATAATCTATACATGAAGAATCTGAAAGCTTCTAGATTTCAATTCCTTTGTAAACCTAACCAACATGGATTGAAACTGACTCAGATAAGAAAGAGAAGGAGAAACAATTACCAGTATCAGCAGACGAAATCTGGTGTGTTGGAAAGATGCAATCAAAGACGTTTTTGTTGGAAAGCTACAATCAAAGACGTTTGAGGTGGGAATCTGAATGGGTATTGTGGGGTCATATGAATTGTAGGACTGTCTGTTGTACCCCTCCCTTTGCATGAAACTATTAAACTTCAAGTACCACTGTCTTGGAGCTTGCTTCAATCCATACAAAATTTTCTTGAGTTTGCACACCATATTTTCTTTACCAACTGTGGGAAAACCCTCTCGTGGTGTCATGTAGATGTCTCCTTTTAGTTCGCCATGGAGAAAGGTTGATTTAACATCTAGCTGCTCTAGATGGAGATCTTTAGAGGATACAATACCCAAGACCATTCTGATTGTAGTCATCTTCACAACTGTAGAGAATATATCATTGTCATCAACTCTCCTCTTCTGTTGAAACCCCTTGACCACAAGCCTTGCCTTGTATCGTTTTTTTGCCATCAATCTCATCTTTGAACCGAAACACCCATTTGTTCTGTAGTGCTTTCTTCCCTGCTGGGAGCTTGACCAATGACCAAGTGTGGTTCTTGTCCAGCAAGCTTAACTCGTCTTCCTTAGCCTTCTTCCACTGTATGGAATCTTTCATCCTCAAGGCCTCTAGATAAGACTCAGATTCACCATTCCCAGTCAATAACACGTAATTATCTTATAGAGAATACCTGACTGTAGGTCTTCGTACTCTGGTAGATCTACGAACAATAGGTGTAACGGTCTCTACTTCATTTTCAACCTCATCCTCTAAAATACTATCCTATGATACATCTGAGCTCCCACTACTTCCTAATGTTTCACCTATCTCTAGAGTACTGATAGGTTTTACAACGTTGTCATCTAATATTTCTTCTAAATCAACTTAATCTTTCTTTTCTGGTTGTTTTTCATTTCCAGAGATCTTTTCAAGTTCGTCCTTGTATACAACACTCTCGTTGAACACCACATCCCGACTTCTAATAACCTTTTTATTCTTGTTATCCTAGAAGCGGTACCCCATGTCATCCAACCCATAACCTATAAAGTTGCACTTCCTTGCCTTCACCTCTAGTTTGTCTCTCTCTGAGTTTTTAACTTTAACATACGAGACACAACCGAATACCTTCAGGTGTTTGCTCGAAATCTCCCGACCTTGCCATTGCTTTTCTGGAATCTTAAAACCTATGGGGAATGAGGGTCCTCTATGATTAAATATTCAATTGTGTTGACCGAATCTGCCCATAACAGTATTGGTAAACCTACATGTAGTCTCATGTTTTTAGCCCTCTCGTTCAATGTTTAGTTCATCCTCTCAACTACTCCATTCTACTGAGGTGTCTTCGGAATAGTCTTCTGCATTTTGATTTCCTAGTCAACACAATAATCAAAAAATTATTTGCTACTAAATTCCTCCCCATTGTCTGATCTGAAACACTTGATTTTCAAGTTTGTTTCATTCTCTACAATAGATTTCCATTTCTTGAATGTGCTGAAAACTTCAGAATTATGCTTCAAGAAATAAACCTAAACTTTCCTTTTGCAGTCGTCAATGAAAGCAACGTAATATCGGGATCTGCCCACTGAAGAAACTAAAGTGGGACCATAAACATCTGAATGAACTAACTCCATCTTTCTGGACTTGGGCGGATGACATATCTTTGTGAAAGTAACCTTCTTCTGTTTACCCAGAACACATGGCTCATGGAATTCAACTGTCACAGTCTATAAATCTGGTATTCTTCCTTTGGAGGCTAGCATCTTCATTCCCTTCTCACTCATATGTCCAAGTCTTTGGTGTCATATAGTAGATGTCCCAACTTCTTCAACAGCATGTGCTTCAGCATCATAAACTTCCACCATATAAAGTGTACCCTGCTTTTGACCTCTAGCAACAACTAAGTTTCCCTTTGTCACTTTCCACTAATGATCACCAAATGTAACATAGTGACCTTCATCATCAAGCTACCCTACTAATATTAACATCCTTTTCAAGTCTGGAATAAAGTTGATATTCTTCAAAGTCCACTTTGTACCCCAAGTCGTCTTGAGGACCACATCCCCAACTCTAGTAATATCCAGGATCTTATTGTCTGCTAATATGACTTTCCCTTTGTACTGCTTGAAATTCTGCATTACTTCTCTAGCATGACAAACATGAAAAGACGCACCAGAATCCATGATCCAGGATTTCGTTGATTTTTTTGACACAAAAAATGAGTGCATCATCTTCAGAATCTACTGTCATATTCACTTCCTTCTTGCCTTTATCTGCCGAAGGCTCTGGGCACTGATTTTTGAAATGACATTTCTCTTTGCAATTCCAACAGATAATATCCTTTCTGTTCTTCGATTGACCTCTCTTTCTTGTCTTCGATCTTCATCTATCACCGCCTCCTCTGTCTTCAGTACTTAGAAGACTACTGGAATCTTCTCCGGAACTCCGTCTTAGCACATCCTCACCAAGGGTTAAGTTACGGATACCTTCGAATGTCATCTTAGCACCTTCGGCTGAACTACTAACTACTGTCATTGTTCTGGACCAACTTTTAGGCAGCGAAGATAATAACAGCAACGCCATGACTTCATCTTCAAATTCAATATCAACAAAAATCAACCTTGAGATGATAGAATTGAATTCGTTAACACGATCAGTCACCGAGCTACCCTCCTTCATCTTCAGATTCACCAAGTGTCGTATCAAGAAAAATTTCTTCGTCGTTAAGGATTTTTCATACATGTTAGAAAACGCCTTGAGCATACCAAACATTGTTCTTTCATTGAAAATGTTGTAAGAAACGTTCTTTGCCAATGACAACCTACCTGAAAACACTAAAAGCCTGCCGATCTAACAGATCCCATTGCTCCTGTTCCAACACTTATGGTTTCCTTTCGGATAATGGTAGATGTAACTTCTTCTGGTAGAGATAATCTTTGATTTGCATTTTCCAGAAAACGAAATCTTGACCATCGAATTTTTCGATCTTAACTTTCCCATATTCAACCATAGCTCTGATACCAGATTTTTGGGTATTCAACAAAACAAGTTAAGCGACTTCAGACAAAACGATAAATGATTTCGGTA